ACACTGAAATCATGGTTGAGGTGTATAATGGGTCAGGCTAGTCGGATATTAAATATTCATAGATATATCGAAATAGATAAAGATGCTGTTATCGAAAGGTTTTCCTCGAGGTTTTCAAAGCAATGTGAAAGACTTTGTTTTATAATCTATAGTCACGGGGGTACCTAACATTTTGTTAATTAGATTTAATCAAGAGTTTTGAATGATAAGTTACCTACTTTATATTATCTAATGGTGAAATTGAGAGATTTTTTTTTTTTCATCTAGTTCATATAATACGCATATAAAATATATTTTCATCGATTCATTTGAATGACTGATAATTGTTATTTTGGCAATTTTGAATATTCTGAGATATAAAAACAGATTTAATAAAAGTTGAAGCTAATAAACCACCATAATGTGTTGATTTATTATACACTATACTACTAGGCAACCCCCAAATTATAATTTAATTTCCGCTACTGAGTACATACCTACGCGCCTGATTTATTTACATGCATTATTAGCCGTGTATACAGAGAAGTGCACAATAAACAGCCAGTGCTGTAACTTCTGAATCATTTGAGATCGGAATTTGCAAATCGCTGGGTAGCAAGTATACAAAATTGCTCGATAATTGACAAAGCACTTTTTCATCCATCACTTCCGGTTTCACCGGAAACGACCCCAACCTTTGATTTTTCAATATGACACCCTGTATTTTCTTTCATAATCGGTTAGAGATTTTCATAACAAATTCAACGATACCAGATTTGATAGGGTTATTTCAAACGATTACGAAGATATTCGCGTTCTAAGTTTTCAAATGCTCAATGGGTGTGACTTCCAAATATCGAAACTTTTTTCTCTGTCCCACTTATTGAGCAAATGGAAACTTACAATGCGAATATCTTCGTTGTCGTTTGAAGTAACCCTATCAAACCCGGTATCGTTGAAACTAGAGTCTCGAGATCATACCCGTGTGTTCACCGAACACGCCCGATCGTTCCCTAAGCGGTGGGGAAACGTAAATGGGCAGCAGTAACTACGTTGTGAATATTGGCGCGTGCCTGAATCATTTTGGAGTCAAATTTGTCAATTTAATGTACTTCGAAACGGAACACTATAGTAGTTGTGCCTTCTTGTTTTACATATATTATAGGTAGATATCAAATCAATAAATATATATAGTGCTCTCGCCATCGGTATTTGCTGAACTTCGCTATGGGAAAAATGTTGAATAACTATATATTGGGATGAAGAATGATCTATACAGGGTGTATCTAAATAACACCGAAATAATTCAAGGGATGATTCCTTGTGATATAATATGATGAATAAAGGTCATATAAACATGTGTCCTAAACTTGCTTCGTTTTCGAGGTACAGGGTTACGTCCTGATTTCGAATCCGAAGTGATTTTCAACCTATCTTGCCTCCTAATATCATTTTCCGGAAATGTTGGTGGGTCCATGACCAGAGCAATGTTTTTCACTGAAGATAACCTCACTTTGGTCATAGTTGGTATATATATCTATCGCTCCTTAAAATTGAACAGTTACGTTAGATATACGGGTTGATATTCCATTATATAGAAGTGACATGCACACTGTTTATATTTTTAAATACATCCAGTAGTGGGATTGAATTTTATTTTATGTTGAATATTAGAGTGTGTTTTTTTATGTGATATATTTGTTTCGTTTATTTCAAATATATATATTTTTTTAGTAGGCATACTAGTACTTCTTTTATATAATTCTGAAATCTGATCCACCCTGTATTTTTTCAATTAAATGGCATCAGTAGATAGTAAATAGAATGTTAGGATAGGGACACATGTAAGCCATTTTAACAAATCAATATAGGTATTGTATAGTTTCGATACAAAAAAAATCTCGATATTTCACATTCTACGTATAGGTATACCTTGAGCTTGATCAACGAAATCATAGCTCAATTAGAAGAATGGAAAAATGTAATAAAATATAAGGTTTTCATTTTGAATAACAAAGCTCTGCTACTACTAAGCTGCTATAAATACTACATAACTACTAATAATAATTTCTAGTGAAGCAGATGAACATTATCGAATATAATTTGAATAAAACGAGCGTCCCCGCCAACAAAACATAAGCATATAATATGTACATATAGTTTCATGATTTTTGATGAGTGGTTCGCTATTTTACATGTAGGACTCGTCGTGACATAGCGAATTATTGCAAATCAAATCATCGCTTTCATTATCTGATAGGTCGCAGTAGATCACTTGATGCCTATCAAATGTTTCTTATTTATTCGAAAAAAAAAAAGTTGAAATGTGATCAATAAAACTGTTGGTGACCCACCCCGTACTACAAAAACAAAGACAGCATGAGAGAAGCTGCCTGCCCACTCATTGTATCATGACTGCCTGCTTACGTCTCGGTCTCCCCACCGCTTAGGTAACGATCGAGCGTGTTCGGTGAACACACGGGTATGATCTCGAGACTCTTGTATCGTTGAATTCGTCATAATAATCCCTAACCGATTATGGAAAATTCGAAAATCAAAAGTATGGGTCGTTTCCGGTGAAACCGGAAGTGATAGAACAAAAATTGGTTTGTCAATCAATGAGCAATTTAGTATACTTGCTACCCACCAATTTTCGAAATCCGATCTAGAATGATTCAGAAGATACAGGCCTGGCCGTTTTTGTGCACTTCTCTGTATATACACAGGCACACAGGTGGCGCAGTGGAATGGAATCAGTCATTCAGAGATTACAGAACTTGTCAGAATCATTGAATATATTTTCGTCATTTCTTATTCTTCATCACCAACAGATTTTATTGATTTCCTCTCGTGAGATCCCAACGATAAAAACAATGTAATATCGATTAAATTCACTGTTTTATTGTCATATCTGTAGAAAACAACAATTATTTATCTCTCTCATTCAAGCTCATTAGGGTTTCATATTGCTTGAGGATGACATTTAGGTAGAAATCCTACAAAGAGGGGGACATGAAACATATAGGACAATTAATATTTACACTCACGACGCCAATTAGCCAAATGTATTTGAAATGTATTTCGAAATCGCTAAATCCAGGCAATGAAACGATAATACAAATTCATTTGAGAAACCAGAAATATCATTAAATTAAATTATTGAATTTCACGAGGTTCAATAACCTTTGTGTGAGAACGTCTATCAATTTAGTGGCCATAACGGAATACTCAATTTTTTCGACATGAAGGTAGAGACTAAGACCACCTAAGACAGAAGTAATCGTTATCGTTGGTAAAAAAATCAGTGGGTGACCCATTCGATGGTGACCCTCAGTACTGGAATTCGTCTTGTTATTCCAGTTGTGTCATAATAATATATGAACTAGTCACAGTGGAGTTGTATGTGAATCTTAGTGTTACTCGATTCACGCTAAATAGATATCCATGTAGGCATCTGAAAACTTTCGAAAACATATTCAAATCGCATATATGTATATGAACAGCAGACTTTTTGGTCGAGGCGATTATAAAAACATGTTCTACATATCGTCCATGGAATTTAAGAAACAGAGACAAGGCGAAATAAACGGTCTCAAGTTCATAGTTATTTTGATTGAATTATTTTGAGCACATTGGTAACTACCCGAATTCTATGAGAGGAACATGTTTAATCTGATGTGTACCTTGACATACAAACTTGAGAATATCAGACTCTTGAACAGTTATTTGGGGTATAGGTCGCCTTGAGTTTGACACCTGGTTTGATATGGAATTTGAATATTTCTCATATTGAGTTGAAACGAACGAAATGAAAAATGGTTAGTTTGGTTCACAGAACAGAAAAGGGTTTTAAACTATAACTACTTTATTCAGATATATGAAAATGGCATAAAGAAGTACATGCACTGAAAATAAAGTTGAAAAATCGATCACTACAGAAACACTTGTTTAGATTATTAATGACACTAACAATAACCATAATAAATACATAATGATAAATAATAATTAGAATATGAAACATGTATATCCAATTTCAAATTCATCTATAATATGTGTGATATAGATAGTGAAATAATATAAAAAATATATGAATGTTAGAAGGGAAATCATCGATGTGATCAGTAGTTATTAATCATTTTTAATGAATATTCTCAGTTATATTAACGAAACAAATTCTATCTCTATTCAGATAAAATTTTTTCAGTTGATATTTGAAAGCTACATAACTTTTTTTTTGATTTTATGTCCTCTGGGATGGTATTATACATTTTGGTGCGATATGCGAATATGATTTTCGAGAAATAGATTTTCTATGTATGTTATGTTTTTTGTCGGGTGTTATCCATGAGTCGGAATTGGGCTTTTCTTGTGATCGAAATGGTATTTGATACAAGTGGTTTGGTTAAAGAGTTGTCGAAGGTCCATAATCTTGGATAAATTGTCTGACGGGTAAATAGGCCGTTTTGCCATTATTATTCTCGGAAATCTTTTTTAATATTTCAAGTTTGTTTATGTTTGTTCGTCGAGCTGCTCCCCAGACAGGTATTCCGTATCGGAGATGACTTTCTACTAGTGTCAAGTACAAAGTTTCCAGATCTCTATAGGGTAGGTATTTTTCGAGGTGTGTTTGAGGTTTCAGATGCCTCGTTCTCGGCTTGTATGTTGTGAGAAATCCCATTTATATCAATCTCGAAATATTGCATGTCTGGCATATTGAATGAATTACAGCTGAATGGTATGAATTTTGTTTTATTCAGGTTGATAGTAAGTAATTTGTGGTCGAACCATTCTTTTACTGCTCTGATATCATTTTCTACCTTAGTTTTCAAGTTTTCCCCTGAATGTGATTCATAAAATATGGCAGTATCATCGGCATATCCTATTATATCTCCTGCTGTGTTCAGTTTGAATAAGTTAATTAAATAGTATAGGACCGTATTCTATTAGTTCCTCGCAAGTTTCTTCACCATTCACACAATGAAAAATAACACTAAATCATTACTTTATTGACAATTTCTCAGATACTGGTTATACTACTACGAAATCCAAGCTGGTATGCTTAGGAGATTCTCATATGCACCAATGGAGCAACACCGATGGGCTGCTGTAATCATCGCCAACGAGAACTATGACAAGTCGACCTTAGAAAATGATATTGCTCTCATGAAGTTGTCATCTCCAGTGAGATTCAATAGGTATGTGAGGCCAATTTGCTTGCCATCTGAAGCGACGGCAGGCCGCAACTTCATGGAGGGACCTTCACCAGGAACTATATGCACCACTGTTGGATGGGGAGCAACAATTGAACATGGGTCGGATCGTGAGTATGCTTGTATCTGCAACAAATAATACTTCAACTTCAAAATTGGAACAAACCGTACTGTATAGATGCAAAAATGTCGATTACGAATCGAAAAAACCAGGAATCTTCAGTTTCACAACACAACGGGAACAGGAAAACTTCAAGGTTTCATTTTCAATAACAACCAAGAAACCTGACAGTCTCAACCAAAATGAGATGCATTTTACATAAAGGGAGTTGAGACGTTTGGTTATTTCCACCCTGTCTTCTTAGCACTTACTGGTGAAAAAGAACCTCAAATATAATGATAGAAACAAGATATCTAGATGAAATCAATAACGAGAATGCCCTCTTCCTATTTCCAATGTTTTTTAGGCCGTGAATGTATACGTGTATATGTATGTGACACGTTAGGATGATGACAACGTCAGTAGTTAAGGGTCAAAATTCTAACGCCCAATTCATAAACTCCACTGCCGTAGTCGCAGTTGACGCTGCCGTTTCAGCTAAAGTTGTTACTAGTAGTAGTCAATTCATAAATACTTCCTGCTGAGCCAAAGCAAGTGTATTCCGGAAAAAATATTTAACAGTCGTGAGTGAAAAACCAATACTAATATTATATCTTTAATTAAAACCACCAAGTGCAAAAAATATCTTTTATTACATATCAATTGATAAACAAAAACAATCACGCTCATCTATCAGTAGTGTCAATCATTGTCACTGGACTCGGCAACTGCGTCAGCTGCGGAGTTTATAGACAGTAGTACGTTATTAGCATGATATTAGGTCATTCTTGGACAGTAACTGTAGCTACGGCTGCGCGGTAGCGGAGTTTATAGGTTCATTCGGGTTCCGATTCCAAGAATCGTTCTCGAACTGCGTAGAACTAGTGCGCAGTCGTTGGGAATCCTAGGACTGTTTCAGAATGGTTCACAAATTATGAAAACCCGAACGCGGCAGGAGAGAACCTCTGAGAACATAACCTCTATTCAGAATTCGCGAAGATAACAATAGTTTGGAACCTGTATCTTCATTCGAGTAAAATACTGAAACTTCAAACTCTCCTTTGAGTCTATTCACAATATTTCTGGAAACCCTCTGTGGAGGAATGGTGAATATATTCCATCGTAGCGTTCGTAGCTAGGTTTTCAATATGTTTTGTCCCTTGTACCTACATGAATTTCGACACCCACCTGTTCAAAGAATTTTGTATTCGAATATAACGGCAAATTCTCCCGAACATAATCCTCCATTTTTCGGTTTATCTAACTGAAGTTCGAGAATTATCAGATCAGTGAGTTACTCCTTCACCATTGCTTCCTGAAGATGAAGATCTACTACTATCAAATGTTCTTCGGAAATCTCTGCAATCATCCCTTCACTAGCAATACCAATCAGACGAACTAGACAAGCCCAGTCAGCACATCCTTTCGTTGTCAACCTCGAAAGATGTCGAACAGCACTTTATCAAGACTCCTTCATCCATAGAACGGCTAGGCTCTGGAATTCATTGCCTGTGGAAGTATTCCCAACAACATATAATCTCCAAAAATTCAAAAAAAATTCCAATACCTACCTCCTGTCTCTATCCTCCCTAGGAACGCATGACGTTCTTTGAACATTATAGGGATTCCCTTTCGTGCGCTCCAATCGATAAAAAACAAAAAAAATATATATACTAACTCCATTATATTCAGAAAATATTGAAAAGAGCAATAAACAGTAGAATAAACAAAAATATATCATTATGACATTACGCTACAACAGACAGAATCGGAAGCTAAATGAAATGAGCATGCGCCAAAAATAATCCTAGTACGGTTCACGCGACAGCAGGTACTGGTTTCGGATAGTTTCAGGACCGTCCCAGGACGATTCTGAAAAAACTCGAACGCGTAAAGAGCCAGTCCTAGAAAAGTTCCACAGAACCCGAACGCGATCGATTCTACTGCGCAAACTCCTGACAGTTTTAGAACAGTAATTGTTCAAACCTGAATGAACCTTATAAATTGGCCTTAACCATCCAGTACTTACATGCCATGCCGTCTGAGAGACTGAGCCCCCGCTATTCTCCCCAAATTATTGCGCAGCGCAATTCGATTTGGTTGGGCGGCTAGCTATCTTCATTTCATTCAGTTACGGAGCAATTGCCTTAGTGGAAAGTATGTAATAGCATTTTTGGTGGCAGACCTACCAGACTCCATCAAGGAAGATTATGTTGAAAAGCGCTCAGAAGATTCCGAGTTGGATCAAGAGTGAGTACCAGAGTCAGTAGAAGATCTCGAAAAGAGGTCTGAATCGGAACCAAACTTAGAACACGCATTACTGCACATCGAGACCATATTTTTTAACAAAACGCGAAGTATAGCTCTTTTTCACTGGTAAAGACAACTTTGGTAACTCCGAAGAAGATATATAGCCTAATTGTTTCTCTTTATAAATTAGATTAGATTAGATTTAGAATGGGGCCTTCGGGCTATCTGCCTCCACACGGCGACCTTTTCAGATCTATTATGTCTGCCCTCAAAATCGATTAGAGTTCTTCGGCAGCCCAGCCTTCTCTATGAGACTCCATAGGCTAGCTTTCAGATCCCCTGTGTATATTTAGGTTTCTGGTTTTTCCTCACCCAGTGTAAGGAACCTTAGTCTTGACAAGCCCTCACAGTAGCCCTCACAGTAGCAAGTATGTGTACTGCTGTTTCCTCTTCTTCCTGACAGAACCTGCACAGCAGTTCTTCAGTCAGAACTATCGTACTCATGTGTTTGTTGAACCTACAATGCCCTGTGAAAAGTCCCACTTGTATTCTAGTTGAACTTCGTTTCTTGCTCAGGAGATATTCTCTGAATGTTCATTCTTGAGATTTGGTTTGCATCCATGATTTGATACTAGTCATTTGTATAGCTTTCGCAATACCACAGAAGGGTTCTGGGCCATTCAGAGCTTTGTTTGCTCCTGCTCGGGCAAGTGAGTCTGCTTCTTCATTGCCCTCGTACCCTGTATGTGCTGGTACCCATGCTAGAGTCATTCTGTTCTGGCTGCCCAGTTCATTTAGGATTTCTATGCAGTCCCATACTAATTTTGAGTTAACTTGCATAGAGTTGACTGATTCGGAGGCCGCCTGGCTATCTGAATAGATCACAATGGTTTTTCCTTTAAACTCTTGCTTTATCAATTCTTTCACGCAATGATGTATTGCAATAATTTCTGCCTGAAACACCGACGCGTATTTACCTAAGCTCAGTGAGATTTTTGTCTTTGGCTTGGCCCCATAAATACCAGCTCCTGATCCTTCCTCAGTTTTGGAACCGTCCGTATAGACAGCAATGTCTGCATTGATAGGAGGTCCTTCCATCCATGCCTCTCTGTCCGTTATACTGATTTTGAAAGTTTTTTCAAAGCTATATTTTGGAATTATGCCATCCGTTGGATGGGGTCGTTTTCCAACTCTTCATATAGCTTTCTATAGTCTTTACCGTGCGCGTTGCTCATGGGTGTTTGACCCCTAGACAATCTACTCACGACTGCTCTGGCTTCGCCTTGAATATATATTTGTAGTGGTGGCAGGTTCAAGAGGACCTCTAAAGCGGCTGTTGTAGAGGTTTTCATTTCATAATGCATTTTTATGGATAAAATCACTTTCTATGTACGACATGACAAATGAAATAGCATTTCTCGTATCCATTATCACAGGCTGATGTTAGTACTAATTTTATTAAAATCATGTTAGTACTGGAGGGTTAACTCATAATCGAACCCTTTCGTCAGCCGACCACATGCGCGAAGTCGAAGTGCCGATCACGAAGCAGTGCAAGCACCCCGACGACAAAGGCGGCGACGAGATCTGCGCCGGGCTGTCGGAGGGCGGCAAGGACGCGTGCCAGGGCGACAGCGGCGGCCCTTTGATGTGCCGCAACCCGAACGACCCGAGCCAGTGGCACCTGGCGGGCATCGTCAGCCACGGGGAGGGGTGCGCCAGGCCGGACGAGCCAGGGGTCTACACCAAGGTCAGCCGGTATGTCGGCTGGATCGCTGAAAATATCGGTGAGTTCGTGGGGATATGCTGATTTCATAACGACAATGGCGTTTTCGGACTAGGCCATCATGAAAAAAAAAGGTTGGAGTTGAAATCGAGAGGAATTTTAGTTATAATTGAAATGTAGGCACTTTGACCAAGAAATGCGGAAATCTCAATATTTTGACTTGAGAATGGCACTCTCGTTTAGTTTCTGTGGCATTCACTGTTTTCGAGATGAATCGATTTTAAAATTCTGGTGAAACCTTAGCCGTGGCACTTGATATCTCCAAGGCATTCGATCGAGTCTGGCACCACGGATTCCTCACCAAGCTTACATCTTATGGCTTGCCTCCCCAGCTATGTCCTCTGCTAGCTAGTGTTCTCTCAAACAGGTCTCTCCTTGTAGTGGTCGACGGAGTTTCATCTAACTCTCTCATCATAAATGCTGGTGTTTTGCAAGGATCGATTCAAGCACCAACACTACTTCTACTCCATATCAACAATTTGTTGGAATCAACTTCAAGTCCAGAACACAGCTTCGCGGATGATAAAGCCCTCCATACCACCATCTCTTCCAGGGCTCCAATACCGTTCAGGCAAATCAGAAACGAACGAGGAATAAATGTTGACAACATAATTATGGACTTGGCAACAATTCTCGAATGGGGATACAATAACTTGGTAGATTACAATGCAAACAAAACACAAGCATGTTTTTCTCAAGAAAATCCGATCTCACTGTGCCCAACATAAGCTTGTCAGGAGTAACCATACCTTTGAAGACATCCATTTCGATGCTTGGTATCAGTATCAGCAAAAACCTCTTTTGGGAAAATCACGTGATATCGATTGCTGAAAGTGAATCCCAAAAACTTGGTTTTTTGTTTCGGGCCAGGAGATATTTCACTTTCAGTCAGCTGCTTATGATCCATAAGGCACAGATTTGACCAGTCCTGGAATACTGTAGCGCCCAAATAACATACCCTGAAACTGTTGGATTCTGTCTAAAAAAGGGCAATTCGTCTCGTGGGTGATGCCTCGCTCACAAACTCACTCACTTCTCTGGAACACCGTAAAAAAGTTGGCGATCTGGCTCTATTTTATATATATTTTCATGGACGATGCTCTTCTGAAATATCAACAATTGTTCCTTCCTTGGCAGTCCCCGCGAGATTGGAGTCCTGCAGAACATCTCTTTCCAAAGACTCGTTCATCCAACGAACAGCGAGACTCTGGAACACATTGCCAAGGGAGGTGTTCCCCGAGGAATATAACCTCCAGAAATTCAAGAAGAACACCAATTCCTACCTTATTTTCCGTGGTTCTTACGATGTTCTCTGAACATTACAAGAGATTCCTTTTCGTGGGAACCAGAACAAGAAAAAGTAAGAAAAATAGTAATAGTAATAAATAACCGAATTCTCACATGAAAATACCTCATCGAAATGAAACATCTACCTCCGAAGTTTGGATTTCGAATAAAGGGGCTGAAATGAAAAATAATTATTGTATATAATTATGTACCTATAAAAAAATAGCCCTATTTTCATCATGCACGCAACATAATTCAGGAGTCTATTCATCCCAAAAATGTTGAATGTCGAAACTGTACAACTGTACCATTGTTAGGTGAAAATGTTGATATCCCTATATTTCTTGATCAAACTGCCAAAAGTTTCATGTACAAAGAAGTGCCACCTACTTCTTCTGTTTCCCACACCCCTGATCAGAATTTTGAAATATTCACATTTTTCAATTTGGCAAGAAATATTAAGTACAAGTAAAACTCCGTTATTTCATCACAAAGAGTTCTCAGAATATTTATAAAAACCACCATTTCTTACATGTCTTGCCTAAGAGATCATTTCCGGACCCATGTTTATATAAACTGTTTTAATATTTTTGTTCCTAGAATCTGCATTCGTTATTTTTCTATGTGATTTCGTAATATCCTGTATAATTCACGATCAAGAAATAGACACCATCATCTATTCCACCTTAATGTTACTAATTCTTTCATGGGACAGCAACATTATCAGACGGACTCCACAAGTTCAGTCAGCAGATCCTTTCAACGCCAACTTCGAGATATGTCGAAACTCAAAATGATATATTTCATTGTTTCGGAGCGTAACATCTCACGCTTCTGTCTACTACCAACTTCCCTGTGATTTGTCAGCATTATCTTGGTAATAATCTGCAGTTCAACTGTGTACAATTAATAATGGGATATCCTGTGAATTAATTAATGATTAATCTTTCTCATGGTAGTATTTTGTATTTTTTCGAATCTCCAAACATACCTCATTTTCAGTCTAATGATGGCCGTAATTTCGTATTAGTATTTTTATTCTACTTTGAAAGATTTTGAATCACTGAGAAGAATGGACAGTTTCCACGATCTATAATAATGATCATAATATTTATTAGCTGGGTTGATATCGAAAAACCTACTTCTAGTGTTATTTATAAATCGGAACGTGACAACACCAGAAACATGTTGGTTATCGAAACGTTTCATGCTCAATTCTCGTGAATATATTTCCACAAGAGTCACATTTTCTCTGGTTCATGAGTAAAACTGAATAATAATGTATTGAATGTTTCTAAAATTACACTTATTTCAATGTTCACAATAATCTTCAATACATGCATTGGTGATTTTTTGTGCACTGAATGATATTCACAACAATATGGAGAATGAGACCTAAATCATCTTATGGTTCCGATTATAAAATATAATATATTGATTCACCATATTCTTCACGGGAACAGTGTGAATTTTTATACACGAATATGGAGAGACTATTGCTTCAACCTTTTACTTGGCAAACTTTTATCTGTCACGTAGAACAATATGTCGTCATCATTTTCCATAGAATATAATATAAATACCTGATTTCTGGCGCAAAAAGTATTATTTATCTATAGTTTGTAGATTTCGATAGATGTATCTCAGGAGATACTCTCTGCCTGCCATATGGTCGATGTTTTACGAATCCTGTAATAGCGAGTTCAATTGGCTGGAACTAGTGGAGCATTTGTCCTTTGAGTGTTTATCTACCTCTGTTCAACACATACGAGTGAGGAAGAAAAATATACATTGAGTGCAAAACCACTCCACCAGTTCCTGCCAATAGGATTCGCTAGGAGTTACGAAGCTTGACAAGAAGAACTCAACCATGTATTTCGTGAATTTCAGATCTTTCAATCATCGGAAAAATCACAAAAAATCACAGAAAATAGAAACAATGATTCAAAATCGGAGCTAAGCATTCAGTGCTGCTCTAGTTTTTTGAAAATTAGGTTGGGTAGAGGTTGCTTACCAAGCACAGTATCCTCCAAAATACAATATCTTGATTATTAAATATCAGATAATGTATCTTCATGTATACAGTTCCCCTAACCCTCAATCTAACAATATATCATGGGATATGACATTATTCTGAGAGACGCGTCAAATTTTCGTCAAACAATAATTGGTATAATAAATATAACCAAGGTGTTTCCTATACAAAGTATAACAATTATACTAGTATCATAGACCAGAATAAAATATATTCAGTACTAAAATATACGAGAAAGTTACTATCGGATCTACTTATCCGCGCCATCTTGAACACATGCAGCGAGTTTATTTTGACAGTACATTAATTCAATATTCATCGCGGTGCCATCTACATGGAAAATCTTGCATATAGTTCGCGCATATGTTCCTAATAAACTGTAACGAAAATTGCAGAAATTTGCGAGTTTTTTTCAACGAATATATTTTAAAGATGTGTCTTACCAGATACTCTGCTAGGAAGGGTTAATGATATATAGATTGATTATCAAATCGGTACATATAGGGGTATTAAGAAAGGAAGATGGCATTAGGGAATATCGCGCATGATGAATTTTAGGTTCTGATTCTGTTCAGATATTCCAACGTAGACTAGCGTACAATAGCCGAATCATGTTGCCATTTTGCCATTCACATGCTCTAAATGTAACGATCTGTAAACAATCTGTTCAGTATGACTTACAAAAAATGTTAACACGAAAGACTGTGAGCCACGTACACAATAATGAAAGTTGCGGTCATCAACTCACTGTCAAATAAGCATTTTTCATTCTTCATCAGAAATATAGGCGTCATCTGCAAAACTGAATTGTCAGATTCTCTATGATCCGAGGACTCCTTTGGTTGGTCGTAATATATGTTTTTTTTTTGTACCGTTACATAATTTCTGGGAAATACCTAGTTCTCTCAAAGATTTGTTATAGTTTTCGGAAGGAGGATGAAATATTCCATTCATAACATCGTGTACAACCATTACAATTTCAAAATGAAATTTCTGTATCTTTATCATGCATACAAATATTTCACTCAATGTTTCAGGTAGTGAAAGATTCTCCTCAAATATACCCCTACAGAGTTGTCCAGGATACATTTGCAGAGTCACGAACCAATGCCTTCCAAAAAAGCACCATTGCGATAAAATCGTCGATTGTTTGTTCGGTGATGATGAATCAAGCTGCAAACACAGTTTCCATAATATTTTCAAGCATTCTAGAAGGAATCCAATCCTAGCAAAAACACGAGAAGAAAATGATGAAAAGGAAGAAGAAACTACAGGAATATCAACGGATTCCGAAGATTCTATAACAACGAATGAAAGTTCCACTTCAAAAACAGCTTTACCAGAAACAAATGAGAATGCAACTATGGAACATGATTCTGAGAGATCAACAATTGCCTATATAACATCATTTAGCGCAAAACCAGGATTAGAGAACATTCCAAATCATACTACTGGAGAATCAATAATTGATAGAACCACCATTTCGGCTTCAATTGATATGGTTCCACATGGAGCAATAATAGAAAATAATACGAAACACCATACAGATACCTCGCATGACCATTTGAAGACGATACCGAATCTAAATCGCTATTTTATATGTAAAAGGTGTGTAAGTACAAAGAAAATAATGTAGAAACAGTGGCGTACCCAGAAGTGTACCTTTGGGGAGCGGGATATACTTTTTTTATCGAAATAAAATTTTATTCATGATCATTGGTATACTTACTAAAATAATTTTGAGCATTTCAGAATATAATCTAAGAGCATTTCGCTTCTGATTTCCAAACTTTCATTCAAATGTTCATGTCACATACATTTTCATTTTCTGCTTCGGTGATAATTTTAGGAATATCAGGTAGGAATATTAATAGATGTATATTCCGGGTTTCCCAGAGCTTTCAGAACAGCAGATATCTGGGTTATCGAACATACAAATTCAAAAAATAGTCGTGGAATCTATAGTAGCAAAGGTTCTCAAAATTAGTGAGATCCAATCACCCTTGTGTTAAACAATCTACCAGAAACCACTACTTACTTTGGTTTCTCAAATCGCACCCTCATGTTTTTGTCCGTTCATATTATATAGAAATTCTCATTCCCAATTCGACTATACCACAGAATACTTTGTTGGGTATTCTGTGACTATACATCACGATCGATACATCGTTATAGTCAACATTATAAACAACTAATTGATTTTGAAGGCTTTTTACCGTCAGAGGCGTCATTTCAATGAATACCAGGAGGAGTTAAAAACTCAGACATAATGTTTGTTCGGAGAAAATGCGCCTTAGGCAGCGAGGGGTCAAATGCCTTCAGATTGGGGATTAGATCACTTCCATCAGTTCCAACTGCTGATGTTGAAGCCACTCGATCTGTCATGCGCTCTCAAGCTAGTCTCACACAACGACCAACAGAACGAAACACTTATAGAAATGAAAACGTAATACGTCAAGAAAATTGGTGACTTTCTATCGGCATAATATGGAGGGGTATATATCCTCCTTATCTCCCGTAGGTACGCCTCTGTGGAGAAATGAGATAGTCAAATGTTTTTGCTGATTCGTTATCTAATACGTGATTTAGTTTATTACAGTTGATTCCTTCGGAGAAGAGATGCAACAAAGAGGTAGACTGCGAAGATGGTACAGATGAAGATCATTGCACATGTGTTGATTATATAAGGAACACAAATTCAGCTGCTATTTGTGATGGTATTACCGATTGTTTCGATGGATCTGATGAAATAAATTGTGGTGAGTTTCATTAGTCATGTCGAAATTTTATCTCATGATTATGAACAAGTATAAGAGATCATGCGTTTGTGTCAGGTCTAATTTTCATATCGATATCATTGAAGAAATTCAATTCAATCCAAAATTGAAACAATCATAAGAGATACGTACCTGGAAAATAACTCCTTTTCTAATATGAAAAAAATAATAGACTTAGACTATATAAATAAATGAAAAAAGCTCAAAGTCATTTCCACACAGCGTTCATAAAATGAACAACAATTGTAGAATTCGGGAAAAAACAACTACTTCCCTGGCTAATGCCACGCAGGATATTGAATTACATCCTCCCGAAATCTATGCATCGACTCGTATAAACGAATACTGATACAAGTGATTCTTTCCTGAATTCCTATTGATTTCGATTTTCGATTGAGCCAGGCCGCTAGACAACCACGGACCGGTTACGAGCTCTTCGACTCTCATCAGTGCAGTGTAGTCTCCAGCCAGCAGTCCTAAGACCGCCGACTTAGCGAGGCCTAGCCAAACAAAAATCAAGTTGGCATTATATCCACCCCGAGGCGTCTTTCATAGATAAAATGAAAGTAACGCCATCTGAGTAGAACCGAGGAAAGAATCACAATCAGTTTTGGAGTGATTCTTTTCTCGGTTCTACTCAGATGGCGTTACTTTCATTTTATCTATGAAAGACGCCTCGGGGTGGATATAATGCCAACTTGATTTTTGTTTGCCTGGGCTTCACTGAGTCGGCGGTCTTAGGACTTCTGGCTGGAGACTACACTGCACTGATGAGAGTCAAAGAGCTCGAAACCGGTCTGTGGTTGTCTAGCGGCCTGGCTCAATCGAAAACAATAGGCATTCAGGAAAGAATCACTTGTATCAATATTCGTTTAAACGAGTCGATGCATAGAATTCGAGGATGTAATACAATATCCTTCGTGGCATTAGCCAGGGAAGTAGTTGTTTTTCTCCCGAAATCTACCATTTTTTTCATTTTATGAACAGTGTGTGGAAATGACTTCGGGCTTTTTTGCATTTATTTAACATCTCATTCCACTGTGAGTATTGTGGCTATTTCGTAGTTGACTTATACAATATTTGTTTTGCAAATTCAAAGTTTTAGAAATACAAATATTTATTCAACATATGAGTACCTGACATCAGTGTCTTTTTAGCCATTTGTGATTCCATAAATGAATACTATTGTCGTCATAGTAAACAATGTATCCCTCTAAGAAAACGTTGCAATGGAATAGCTGATTGTTCAAGATCCGAAGACGAGTGGGACTGTGGTGAGTATCGAAATATATGAAATAAGTAATTCTATTCCACTTCTGTTAAAATGGAATTTCACTCTAGAATGATCAGATTATCATCATAGTAATTGGATCAGTATCTACAAGGCCCTTGAGATTTGTAATGAGTTATGTGAATGCATGTTGTTAGTTTTGAATACAAATTTCACGTTATTGGCAGAAATCTTGTATTTTATATTTCACATTCAATGAATATGTGACAGATACTAGTAAAGATACATTATTTATGGTAATTGGAACGTGATTCTCCATATTTCAGCCTACAGAAATCAATTCATTATCCGAAATGTCTTGTGTATCAGCATACTAATTAATTTATTATAATTGTAGAATTTATCACTTCACTATTCATTGCTCAATCCTAGTTGATTATACTAGGTAGAATATCTTTATGAGATTCTGAGAACTCTCATACGCTTTGTTTCCGATGGAGTCAGAAGGCAATAACTCGCCTTGCTATTTCGGCAAGAAAACTGTTTTGAATGAAACAATGATAATTGTTGCCGAACTTGTATCGTTCACTATCATTGCGAGATTTTTTGTGAGAAATGATGTAGTATTCTGATGCATATACATGAGGAACATAATAAGCCTATCATGAAATGAAATATCAAAGGAAGTTATCGACAAAAACCAGGAATTTATAAATCGAATTCAATCAGAAATACTGTCTGTAGGTTAATCGAGGAGGTGGGTACACCATTAAACCATTATCTGAAAAATTCCGTCTGACACTTGCGAAATCTCATTAATTCATTCAAAATATATCATGATAACTTGGACTTCGAATAACCCATCCAATTTGGAATAATATGCATTTGAAGCATCCTCCAACAGGAAATGGAGGGATAATCCCTTGAATTGACAAAAAATATGTATACAGGCCCCAATTCTCTTTCTTTGTCGTACCACTATTGGCATTTTTGAAATGATGGATGAGACGAAATAGACTAAATCAGACATAGGAGGATCAGTGGATAGATGTCTGGGAATCGGAAATATCCCAGATGTACAGAGATAATGGTAAACAACTATATTTGAAAGGAAATATGGAACTGTTATTCTCGGTTTAAAATTTACTTCTGTTTGCTGTTCTTCTTTTCTCATTAGATAGGTACGTCATTCCATTGTTGAAAAAACATGAACTCGCAACTCAATTATTTCAACCTTGATAATAGTCTTAATTAGAAGGGACGAAGAAATACAGGGTGGTCTCAAAGTTGCATCATTCATTTCAACAGCTTGCAGAACTCGTGTAGAGAAGTCAATTTATTGAAAATCTCCTTCATGAGTTCATAGTTTCCAAATAAAGATTACAAAACTATTGAAAATACTGAGATTGAAAAACTACAATTTGACTATGAGTATTTTTTGCTCAATAGTTCATTTGTTTACTGGGTATGGTATAAAAAAAATGAACTAGTGGACATAATGTCAACTATCAGAATACGAAGTTATGTGATTGATGAACAATCTACCTATGCACCTTTGTACTCTGGCAACTATAGCTCTGAAGACTAGATCAACCATCTGCACCCTCTGGGCTTCAATTTGTAACATATACAGGGTGTATTATGATTGATTTAAAGAACAAAAGTTTATATGTGAACATATGAACTGAACTTGACTCTTAACTTTCGAGCATAGGTTGTTAAAATTTTTTGAAAAAAATTCGCTTTCTAATCATTAGTTCAATACTGTTCTAGATATTTTCATGAAATTTGACATGCTCCTACTGAGCACCATGTAGTAGTTTGTTGGTAAGATATGTTTTTGTAAAATTTTTATTCAAGACAAATTGATGAAATTGATTGAATTAGTCGAAATGGTTTCTTTTATTCACGCGAACAAAACAAATTCAAGAGGTCAAGTTGTTGCAGAATGAATGAGTATTTCGAAAAATTTATTTTTGTAAAAAGCAAGGCGTACCATATTCCTTTAGGAAAATCTCCAGTATATATTCCATACGGACGCCACTGGTAGTAATATTGAAAAATCTGCTGCATCAGAAAATGCCTATTGGTGCCTAGTATAGGTGCATGTCAAATTTCAACAAAATATCTAGAACAGTATTAATAAGAAGACTAATTTTTTCTTAAAATGTTAACATCCAATAGCTCGAGAGTTACGAGGTTGAGGGCATATGTTCATATGAACATTTCTTCTTGAAATGACCTAGGGAATCACATCCTATCTTTCCAGTCATCAATTAAATTACACCCTGTATGGAGATACTCTGCGTGAATCGATTGTCAGCAGGCCTAGTGCAGTTGACAATAGATTCACGAAGTTCTCCTAGATTCTCTCAATCTTGAGAATCTAGGTTGATCATGGCTCCTGAGGTGTTTGTAATGAAGTTATTAAACTTTGCAACATGGATTGGAGGTGGACATGGAGACAATAATTTTGAAATTTTTCTTGTAGAACAGAATGCATATCACAGATAATTTCGAATTTTCATCAACCCATAGTTTGAAATCTAATACTATTGAGAACTCTCTCCCACTGCAACTTTATTCATGCAAACGATTCATTTTAGGTATAGTGGCTTCTCTTCAAGAGTTCTACAAGCTGTTAACATTGAGAACATTGAGAACACCCTGTATGGTTAAATCAGAAAAGATGACTACAAGAACGAACTGTTTCGAAAACCTGTTTATATTTTATTACATTTTATACAAAATTCGTTGGCTCCGAAACTAGGTTACTTTTGTTGAGTTCAATCAACCTCGTATCAATTATTATTTCTGATATGATAATATCAAAACCTTCTATATGGATAAATCCGCCAAGAATCAACTGGAAAGTCTGGAAATGTCAGTTCAATAATTCCAGACAGCGTTACTAGGTGTCTTCGGTAAATATGCGGCAACCCCGAGATTTCCAGAATAGTTTGAAATATGAATTAGGGACCTCATATTTCAAAATTGCAAGCACGTCATTCTCAGAATATAATTCGTTTTTCCTAACATAAGAGTGACGTGACTTCTTGAATTACTCTCATCAATATAAGAACGCATTGACCGTGAGGCAAGAATAAACTTCAGTCACTATTATCACATCTTTCACATAATTTCAATATTAAATTGTAATCAGATGCTAGCGTAATTGATGGTTGCGTTATACGCTGTGAAACAATAATTACTTCTTGGTATAAATCAATTCAATCGATATTTCACTTCGTAGCATATAAATCGCAACCATCATAACGATAATAACTTCTCGCACGACAACATAATCGCACCATAAATTTCTCGCCATATCACCGAGACGAGTAATCTTTATTTGGTCATTTTCTTGTTTCAGCTGCCCTTACGAATGGCAAAACATTAACTCTCGACAGTGATTTACGTCCAGAGCTGGCCATGAGTGGTATAATTACGATCAATCGTTTCGGTGTCTGGAGACCGTTCTGCTCAAACATGTCCGACAACGAGGCATCCATCGTCACGAATGTTTGTAATTTGTTAGGCTTTGAGGAATACGTCGGCTACCATAAATATCTGGTGGAAGATCGGCCGATTGATGTCCTCCAGAAAAATGCAAGCAAGCTCTCGATGACACATCAAGGTTTGTACCTATTCCAGAAAAAAAATATGAAACATAAATTATTGTGGATCGCAAGGAATGTTGTACCATTACTTGCTACTTGCTAAAATACATTGGTTCATCTTGTTTCATGTAGTACAGTCTGTCTTGAATATACAGCATGTGTAATGATGATAGCATAGATGTTCAAAAATTATGTTCTTTCAACTTGTTTCATAAACAATATCGATAGACAGCAATCGACTGACCGTAGAAACGGTCGTTAGTGACTGTCTCCAGGAGTTCCAGGACCCCAGGTTCGAATATTTGGTCTTGGTCTTGTTGATGGGGTTGTTCCATATTGAAATTTTCTTATGTGAATAGTATTGGATTTTTAGGTTTCAGGTTTCTCCGCGTTTTTCATGACATGAAATATCATGAGATGACCAATGTTAGTCTCACTGCCATCATATCCCAGGAGGAAGATGTTGTTATGAATAATTCACATATTCCTTGAATGTCAATGGAAAATCTAAATTATTCTCGAAATCGAATTCCGAACTCGCAGAGCAATTCGCTTTTCCTGTTGTTGATTTCAGTAAAAATTCATCATCAATCCATCAACCCTAATATCGTTTTGGTATCAACGTATTGGTAAAATTGGAAACATAGTGGATGTATCGATGCATTTTCAGGATATCAAAAATAAACTCATCTGTGACAAATCAATGTTTCCTAAATGCTTCAAACTCCTTATATATTTAAGAGTGATCCACTCGATCATGTCAACTCAACAGCTGCAACAATTATTTGCGATTGAGACTAGATAAATATTTGCCATCCCCTGAAAAATAACAGTTGAAAGCTTGCAGTTGAGCCTAGATGCACTCATGTCATTTCAATAGCAGTCCAACAATTTGTGGTTGGGTCTTGACAAATCTATCCTGACCTTTCTGAAAATCACCTTCGAATGCTCAGGTGATCGATCCTGGATATATCTCATTACAACAGTCACAACATTATGTGTCTATAATCCTGGTGATGATTCAGTCTGATATAGTTTCGTGAATCTTACCCTCATATTTTGAAGGGGTATCCACCTACCTCGATTTACAATAGCCACATGAACAAATAGTCCAGCGTTATGATTGAGCAAATGACCTAGAATACAAATTCCTCAACAACTATATTATACTGTCATATGTTCGTGTCTAGTATCGTCACTTAGGAAAATCAACATTACCTCTTAACGTGACCTAGGTCTTCATCCTCTCAGCAGCCACCACATGAAGATATTCAGTCTTTCACGACCCCTTCCCGCACGCCAAGTTTTGACCTCATACTGGACATTTGAAAGCACAAATTTTTACATCGATATAATGAATTTTTGTGTCTCCAGTACTCGGTGAGGATGTTATCAACATCACACGTTGACATTCATTATTTCTTCATTGCGTAGCTCTTAACTTGTATTAACCCTACAATGCTTCCTGTTGCATATATGCAACATATCTAGTCATTTACTGTTTTCTACTGAAATGAGGCTTATCGGTTTAATGGCGTTATCGAAGAGTATGACACATCACATACGTGTTTGTATCAACTTCGAGTCGTCATCAATTCTCAATAATAGAATGGATGAAAATTCGTACGTGTTCATTTATCAATGACTGTGTCTGTCAACGCTGATGTATAAAAGTGATTTCTCATGAGCTGGTGCTAAAAATTGTTATATAAGTAGGAAATACAGAGAGTTGTGATATTGGTTTCGAGATACAGGGTCGGTTGCATGATGGCAAAGTTGAAATTTGGGAAATTCCGAATACTCTCGGAGAAATACGAAAAAAAAAACGGAATTTCGTGTAACCTTATTTATTATTATTTGGAGAGATAAATCTGAATCAATGATACTTCATTATGTCCACTTCTTTTTCCTAAAGTTAGCGTTTTCAAATTTGAAATAAGACGTTTCGTGTTCTACAAACAATCATCAATTTATTTTTTCAAAATACGGACCTGTATTTTTTCATTAAATTTCTTCACATTTCTGGATATCCCAAATGCTATGAGATCTATGCTATGAGCTATCGAAAATTCATATTCTCGAGTATTTCGTTCATTAAAATTAACAGTTCCATATCGAATATTTATTATAGTAGATTTCTCAATCATGTTCACCATGCATGATGTTGCGCACATGCAAAAATCAAACATCTTTGGAAAAAATTTACCCATTAAAATAAAAATGAGATTTTTTTCGACGATTTTTCCATGTTCTGGAATAGAGTTACTCCCGAGGTTACTCCTCAGAAATATTTTTTCGAAAAAAAAACAGTACCTACCTCGAAATTGCTGATATCTACATACAACAAATAAATGAAACATCATTCATATAGAAGTCGAAAAATATTCTAAACATCAGGTCATATAAAGGGAAACTTGGTAATTGCATCAATTATCACGAGAATGTAATCAATTTCCTATCTAATTTTTCCAGAAGGACCTCAATGGTCTGCATGAATATTGGTGTATTGGGTGCAAGATACCTTGTTAATTCTGGGTGCAAGATACCTTGTTTATTTCCCAAGTTCTTCGAACCAGTGATTTCGGGAAATTCATTCCATCATTTGCTCGCTCCCATCCTTTCTTTCCCATGTTCTGTTGAGAAATAGTATCGTTGATACTTTTGAATTTTGCAAGAGAAATCCGTTAGATATATTTTCAGTAAATCGTGAATCTTTTCAAATCAAAATAGGATTAGTGCTCAAGGCATTGATATGACGCAGTCCCCAACCGAACCTAACCACCAATATCCAACACTTTGAGTTGGCAATTACATGTAGAACCATTGCAATGCTTCGTAGTTCGTTGCCACTTGTTTCACCTAGAAAAACTCTATTTAATATGATAGTCAAGAGATCTTGTTCTCAAAATAGTACCATAACAGGCTTCCCCTTTGAATGGCGAATCATTCCCATCGTATCCACAATTTTGAATGAAGGAGCAGTATTTTTTCTTCAATTGGAGTCCTCACTCATTGACTATTTGTATGAAACTGTCTTGTAAGCACACATGTTATGGAATATTCAAAATTATTGTTGCACGTGGAACCAAGCTGAATCATATATGGGGATGAATAATTTGTCGATATTCAATAAGTGAATGTACATTCAAATGATTGATCACCTTCATCACCTCACATATTCTGATGAGCATATGCCATCTTTACAGGATATCTAGAAGAAACTATATTGCATGAAATCCTTTTTGTTCTCAGTTAATGATGCGATCCTGTCCAAAGATGAAAACTCTAACGCGACCAAATGTAGCGGCCTGAATGTCACATGCTCGGTGGTATCTTTAGACAAGACTATGCACATTGGCCGTCCAGATAACGTTAGTGGCGACGTTGAACTTTATACTTCACCATGGAATGCAGTGATTTATTCAGACGGTATATATAGATGTATGGGCACTATTCTGGATCCGCGGTGGATTATCACGTCCGTCAACTGTTTCAAGGGAATTACTACGTGAGTTTGTTTAAGTGGTCATTAAAGAGTGTGTTGTCAGGATGTCTGGAAATGCTACAATTGCTACAGTCCAATGAATGTTTGGACTTTATCAAGGAATTCTGATTGAAGTTCGATAAAATACTTCACACAGAAATGTTCTTCACTAAAAGTGAATAAGCTAGCGTTAAACTGAAATTCCCCTGCATAAGTTATGTCCTTCATTAGATTCAGTTTATGGTTTTAACCATTCATATAAATGACTTGAATTCATTAAATTCTATTCGGGTAGTTTGAACCAAATCCGAGATTGTAATAAGTAGTATGGAGTTTGGAAAAAAAAAACGCAGATGTCGATTATATTTACAGAAGATGCTCTGGTAGAATCATCACGTGATTTAAAGGGCAATACTGGCAATTCATCAGTTATATCGTTGACATTCTTTCAATAGGTATTATTACCGACAGAGAATAGTCGCTCTGAATCATGAGACTTCATTCTATATAAAATTCTTCAATATCAGTGATAATTATTTCTGTCATTGTAATTGATCATAAAATATGGAATAGTTTTTCGACTCTATCTTCATAATCCTTCGATGTCCTACATTCGAATCTAGTATGAATGCATTATCAGTGAATGTAATGTCTATCTGTAGGTAAATTCGTCTTCAGCGAACATGTCGCGGTTGGACGGTATGAACGATCTTATTGCAGCGGTGATCAAGGGAGTTGACACCGTCCACTTGCGACATGATCTCTGAAGACGAGTGTACATATAATGATATTCGAGGCGTTTCATTAAGGAATCTGCAAATATTATTTTCGATGCAATCTTTTTGGTATCGATTTACCTTCATATGATTTGAGATTTGACGAAATTGTAATTTCAGATTTATATCAAATGGATTTCTATTCATTATTGATAATCGATTTTGATCTGTCATAGTATTGTAGTAAGCTTTATAAGTTATTGTATGGTTTCTTCGATAAAATATAAATTAAATAATAATATGTGATAATTTGGATTGTTTCAGGTTGAGATGGCATTATATAACTGTTATTTTGGGAACAGGAAAAGCACAACTTCAAGTACAAGGCCCTCACGAACAAATTATCAGAGTGGTGGAAACTGTTGGTATTCCTAACAGCGACATCGTATTGTTACGTATTGGAAAAAATATGACATATACCCGATATGTTAAAAATGCCGCTTTAGAGCTGAGGTTAGTTACATTATCTATTTTTTCAGATGTTTTCAGGTCCCCTCTTGTGTTAACCATCAGGTCATCCCCGTGAATCAGATTGAACAACTTGTTCACCAAACTCATTATCATCTTCCCAAGTAGCAATTTTAACGTTACGGCGACGTGTTTGAAGAAGTTGCGAACCAAACATGAGTCGCGTGGCAACCTCAACACAACGTTGTTACAGCCTTCTTCTGTACCAATTTGGTCAATCATTTTTGGGTTTTTGAAACGTTCAAGTTTCAACTGTAGGTAGTAGTCTGTGGTTTCCTAAACGTTGCTAGATTGATTTAAAAACTACCGCACAACTGCGCCCTCTCGCGCATGACAGTTTACTTCCCATGGTGTTCAGAAATCAGTATATTTTTCAACCAAATGAATACTGAGGACCAGAATAGTGACTTAGGGAACCATTTTGTTCTGAAATGTGCGATAGAAAAATATCCGATGGCTGTCCATTTCAGAGTTGTGATCATAAAAAGCACGCAAGAGGTAGAACCGATACCACACCAATGGAAAGAAATAGAAACAGGGTACTGGCCCAATACATAGGGGCAAGTTGATGATTGCTCCTGCATTATAAATTAAACTCTACAAACTCTATGTCTTCATGTAGGCTTGTACCTGTGGAGTTTCTTCACGATATAATCTCCTTTCTTGCTTATGACAGGAGGCGGTGTATATGAAGGCTGGTTTTAGTTTCAATTTTGGAAGCATTTTTCCATAACTAACTTTAACCATAACAGCATTCAGCTATCCAGTTGAATTTGAGGAATTTTAACATCTTTCATCACGACCTAAAAAAAGGTTAGTTGTGAACAAGTTGTGAAAATGACCCTGCGGCTCTCCGTCGGGAAAATGTTTAAATAACTAAAGTTGTCACTTAACCGTGTTAAGAACGTCATCTCCATACCCAGAATACTTACTACTTTTCAGTTGGTTGGGTGAACCTTGTAACAACGTCGTAGTTTAAATAAAGTCATGCTAAACATTGAGACGATCAAGTTGTTCAGCCAAGTATTATGTCGTTATCGTCGCCAAATTGCTACTTGGGTCGTCACAAAAGTATTCAACTTCAGAAATACTGCCGGAATAGTTTTCACAAAATTGCACTTGTATCTTTTGCTTCTTGAAAAGGGTTCCACATGTTGATGTTGATTATTATTAAATATTGATTATCAACTATGGTGCTCTTTTTGTCAAAAATGTTCAATATAAGTAAATTGTTTTCTCAGGCCTGCAAACTCCACTGATTATTCAGAGGATATCTTTCATTCCAGAGATAGTATTGAATAAAATTAAATACATATCCTTTTAAGCGGATAAGGATGTAAGGAATACTGAGAGGACTGATTTGAACAACTGGGCTGGCTGGACTCCGTTAATTTGTTGTTTTGTCTCCTCAAGGGCTTTCTATCCTTTGCACTTTTTTCACCGCAGCTACTGATGAGGTCCGAAAGCCCAAAACACGTGTCTGCTACGGTTTTGCTCTTTGCTAGGCTATGTTCTTTATCCTTAATAATATTTCAGACGGGAAGGTAGACGAAGAGAAAGATGCATTGCCATTGGCTTACATCGAAATCATGCGAAATATATACGACTAACACCTTTAGAACTCTGTGAAGTTGGATTCAGGTGTTTCGAGAGCAATGTAATGAAGGAATGTGGGGTGAGTAAAATGATATCACACTCAATTAGTTTCAGATCCTATCGATCGAAAGAAATATGAGCCGTGAAAGAGTTTTCTCGGTTTGAATCAAGACATTGTATCGATTCAAATATTTTCATATATGATGATGGGAACTGCATGCATTCTGGGTATGTTCCAAGTAGGTTCATCAATGTATTATAATGAATATTGTGAATGTTTAGATTCGGTGGCAATTGATGTAAGATGAAGAAAGTATAAATATATATTTGTATTCCTTTTAACCTATGATACGCTTGTGGTCATTTAAAGTAAATTCCTCCTTCTGAATCTGATGGATGATAATGAAGTTGTAACCTTTTATGCACATACTCGGATGCTCTCATTTTTCGTCATATTCACAATAATTTCAAATTATTTCATCAAACAATAACTGATCGTGTCTAGAGATAACTTGACAGATATAAATAGAGTGAAACTAATAATATATTCCCCGAATTGGTAGAACTCGGAACCATGGAGTGGAACAATAGTCTGCCATTCTAGTAATGGATGGTATCCGGCTGCCGTTTATCATGAGGCGACTGGTCCATGTGGATTGACAGCTGTGAAAAAATATACGAGTATTCCATTCTACAAAAATAAAATTCTCAACATCATGAGTGAGTATTATACTTCTGAATAAGTATGCCGTTGAGAGAACTGTAACATGTTCCATGTTCTGTGTTATTTATGAAACATCTTGCTTTGTGGTTGTAAGTAGCGTTGATTTGTCTCAATTGTTAGCAGATAGAACGAAATTGATGAAGCTTGGTTGGCCAAAAATAGTACTGTATCCGCTCTCGCTGACAATTTTAGCTACTATATTCATCCTAATTCTCTTCTTCATGAGAATTGTAGTTCAATTATTGTGCAGATACTCTGTTAGTGCCACCTATCGGCCAAAGTATTTAACCGAGTAATAGTAGCACCACTCTGTAATGTAAGAAGTAGAAGTAGGATAGTCCACAGGTTACTGTGAATCATACCTTCCATCTAAGCAACTAGATGGCGACATCATATCAAGATTTTCATATGAATTCCAACTACCTGAATAAAAAAAGTCAAAAGTGTTTTGTCCTTGATCTAAATATACACTTGTTTTTCCAATATGTACCAGACCGAGAGCTTCTGAAGAAGTCTAGCACTGTACGAGATCCTTATTGTTCTGCATCTAAGATGAGTGCTGAACCTATCAACCCATATATAATATACAGGGTGATTGACTTAGGTCACACATATTAGACTCGCAGTTGATGGATTGAAAACTTGAAAATTGGCATGCTGATATCATCGATAATTTCCAATCTACCCGAAATATGTTCAGTCCTCCAGCTATACAGGGTGTCCCATGAGCCCGCACCAACTTTCTTATTTCGAACTCAAACCTTTATTTTCACAAGTTCCGATTGGTCTCGTAATTCTCAGTTCGGACAACCTAAATTATGTCAACTTATTTATCACAGTTTTTCAGATGAATATGTCGATTTTTTTTTAAATAACCGCCGTAGTAGTTTTCGAAAACATTCGTATCTCGCAAACCGTAAAGGAATAGAGCTAAAAATTGGTGGAATATAGTTACTTAGCGGAAAGTCCAAGCCAATATCTGATGTCACATCAATGCTCCCAGTTTTATATCAAATTGCTATTTTCAAATATCGCATTGGAGAATGGGGAAGCTTCCAAAATAGAGGTTTTTATCTAAACTTGTGAGAATATAATGAATACGTATATTTTATTATTTCCGTAAGATCAAATAACCCTTTAGAAAAAAAAAATTGGCTCCTTCACCATTTCTTCGATCTTTCTGAAAAGCCACATTAACACAGTTGAGATACGATTCCCTAGATTCCCTGTGTCAGTTCGACGTTGCCAAAAAATCATTGCGTTTTATGTCTGATGTCCTTATGGTTTTGGGATTTCACGAATCTAAGAGCACATTATGAAGATTTGATTCTTCAGGTACAATGATACATTCTCGTGATTTTTTCAGGAATTTGGAAGCAGATATCAGCGATATGGTTTCTTAATCTTACTTTTTCGAGTATTATGCGATTACTTATAATGACAAATCATGATATTTTGTAATATTATCTATACTTTTCCACTTTCATTATGTTAGAAAATGATTATCATTACTTGTCAGTAATTTGTTTATCACAAATGAATTTGTTAATGAAACAGATCTATTTTCTAGAAAAGTAGCAGATTATATCACCAATAATAGTTTGAGCCAGTTTCACTTATGTGCATTTATGATCTCCAGTTATTCGGTTTACCTGTCTACGATTTATAGTTTTTTCTTTTAGTTCGTTTATTATTTCTCATGATATGATGAATAACGACGCCAAGTTGTCTTCACTTTCTATATTTTTTATTCGCATTTCATTCGTTTTTCATTCGTTAGCCATTCGCTAGCTATATATTCTGCTTCATCATCTATATACAGACTAGATTCAGAATCTACATCACAGGTTGTCGCCCCGAAAATCAGGACTTTTTTAGAGAAAACAAAAGACTTGGACCTTATCGATCGCCATTTTGTACAGGGTGGACATAAAACTGAGGAGTACGGAACCTATTTCATAAAAATTCATCTGAAGCAAACTTCTCCATTGCCAAAAACCAAACTTGTCTCAAAAGCAACTACTATTTTTAACACCAAATGAAATATAGTTGAATTCGACGACGAGTCCATCGACAACATTAAAAATTCCTGCAGAGATCTTTTGCTTTTTCAAGCACCTATACCACCAATGAAATTCGATGGCTCTAGATGGATGGATGACCTAATATGTTTTCTCCACAACTGACACCAGGGGCCCATATGGGGAACTCTGTATATCAGCTGGCAGCTGGCCCCAGTGCTGGGTACCAAACAATCATATTCAGTTCCCTGGAAAACTGCCAGTACAACATGATCGATGTATTGAGTTTTTCATAGCACAATTATGTCCCATGGACATCCTCAGGACGTCCCGACATTCAGGACGACCCGACATTCAGGACGTCCCGACATTCAGCACGTACTTAGGACTTCCGAATTTAGTACCGCGAACGTCCATTGGACGTCAGTGGAACGCACAAATGTCCCACTTGAGGACCAACTAGGTACGTCCTTGAGGAATTTGTTTGCATATCTCTGCACTACTGATGAGGACATTCAGTTGAGTCAAATAATTTTCCCAAGGATGTTCAATGGACTTACGTAAAAGACATTGGCAGAAAGTATTTATAGCCTACGAGCTTCACATCTGCTCGGATAGTCAGGCGGCTATCAAGGCTATCTGCCATCCCGAACCAAGCTCAGCTTTGGTGCAGGAATGCGCCTGGAGAAACTAGCTGAACAGCAGGAAGTCGAACTAGTATGGGTTCCGGGTCAAAGGGGGGTGCCCGGAAATGAGGTGGCCGACAAGCTGGCTCGAATCGAATCCGCGACACTGTTCTGGAGACCGGAGCCTGCACTGGGCATAACAAGATGCCAAATTTCGTCCGCCCTGAACAAAGGGGCGGACGACGCACTAAAATGATACTGGAGGCGTTTAGGCGGCTGCAGGCGATCGAGAGACGTGGTGGCCAGTTCGAACAAGTCAAAGACGGCTTGGTTACTTGGCAGGGATTTGCCAAGTTCGGCGCCCTCTCATAGTGATACTGACAGGGCACAACAGGTTGCGCAGACACCTATCGCTTATAGGTGTAGAAGAAAGTTCCACCTACGACGAATGCGGAGAAGATAAGGAGACGTCACTTCACTTCCTCGGAGAGGGTGAGGCGTATAGAAGGATGGAATTAGAAAACTTTGGAGTGGATGTATTACAACAGAAGGATTTGGTCGAATTAGAGAGCACGGACATCCTGACTTTCATGAGAAGGTCAGGGAGGTTCAGAAAGGACAACTTGAAGAAGGATCTGTAGATATCTGAAGAGCAGGGGTTGGCAAAAAGGGCCAATGGGTGCCTACTTGCCTGGCTGTAGCCTCCCTACTTCTACTATTACTACTCTACAACTAGCCTACGTGCAGTCGATCGTTGGCGGTAAGTTGGCGTTCTCGCAGGGACAAAGTATCTGACGTGCCGAATGGAACTTCCGTAGGACATTATTCCTAAGGACATTAGAAGGAAAAATGATCATTCGCTTGAGTGAAGGACATTCATATAGGATGTCTATCTGAAGTGTTGATGCCAAAGTATACCACCGATGGATGTCGCTTAGGACACATTCCGAATCGTATCCAGGATATTCTGGAAACGTCCTTGGGACGTCCATAGGATGTTGTACTTATGACATCCCTGAAGAATACTCATTACATAGATGAACATACGGATTATCTATAGGAGTTCCTTCCGAAGTCATAACAGTTCATGTACCAAATGTCCGTGTAGTGATATATGAAGAAAGGTACCGTCTGGGACATTTCATGGATGTTCTAGAAGGGACATTATATATATGATCTGAAGCCATGCCAGATTATGTACTCCTTTGGACATCCGATGGATGTTCCTATATAAAGAAATGATTAAAATTAAATCCCATCAGGGACATGCCAAGGACGTCCTTGCATGTACATTATACAATAAGTATGTATCACATGGGACATGCGAAGGTTGATATTTCTAGGACATTTGGATTGATGTACCAGCTGGGACGTTTCATACACGTCCTTGCTCGGACATTGCATGAAACGTATACGGGATGGGACGTTCTATGGATAATAATCATTGTAGGTACAAAACATTCGAATTTGAATTGTACCAAATAGGGACGTCTGCTCATGCCATCATAGTTATAACCACCAGGGAAACTGAGGAACCAGAGAAAACCGAATCATACGCGATCATGGGAGTCACATATAATAATGATCAGCTGATTGTTGAAGTACCCGTTCTCAGAAAATCTACCAGGGGGAGTGGGGACGAGTTGTGAACCGGATATTGGCCAGCAAATAGCCACAAGTCGTTAGTGTTCAATTAATTCCTGACATCTTACCATCAAAAGGCTATCATCGTATTTTTTACTGATGGTTAGTTGAAATAGGGAAATCATCAGCCCATTACCATTACTCACCACAGAATCTTCACTTTCCCTGACTCGAGCCCTGACTTGCCTGCACTAGGCCAGACTTCTCCCGTTAGATGGTTCAATGTTTGATGGGTAAACACGGAGAAAAATGTATTGTTGATTCCTCGCTTTTCATTGGATAACGCGATGGAGGTTTGAGTTAAGGTTCAGATGATTTTATGTAACTCCTCGAATTCAATTTTCTTTCGGATGGTTGTGTCATAAAAATAGTATCTAGGTGCCGTTTGAGAAAGTTGAGTATCCTGATGCAATTGATACCACTGGAAGTCCAAGTTAACTATTTCATCAATGTATTGCTTCAATTTTGAATAGTTTGCGAGATACAAATGTTTTCGTAAACTAATACGGAGAAAATAATATTCTGATAAAAAAAACTCAACAATCGTGATAGAGGAGTCGACATACCTAAGCCTTTATTATATAGATAGATAGATAGATTCTTTATTGCTTTCGAAGACATTACAGTCCTATAGCAAGGATTCGGTTAATTCTGATGATCACTTAGATATGTTTACATGAATAAGTGTACAATGCGACTTATGATAATTGCCACTATACATATATGCAAATATAGACAGTTTTGATGAGTAACAAAAATACAAAAAGAAAGAAAGAAGGAAATGAGGCAAAGTTGATGATATCACGAAGTGCTACTCGTTTCTTGAAAATGCTCTGGTTTTTAGTATATTCCATAATATATAGTTGGCAATATTTTTGCATTTAAGTGGAGTAAGATTGTCGATGAAGTCAGTTCATTATATACTACTCAAATACACATAAGTTAGGTTGTCTGAACTCAGAATTAGACGGCCAGTCGAACCGTATTGGATTCAAAATGGGAAAGTTGGTGCCGACTTTTGGTACCTGACCTCTGATGTATACCTATATCAAAAGTATGTCAAGAAGATTGGGAACGATAGATTATAACAGCATGCCAATTATCATGTTATTATTCCAACTATTAAATTGCAAGTCAAAGAAAAACTATTCGAAATAACAAGAAACGTGATTGAATTCAATTTTTCATGCTGATAAACAAAACGTACATTCGCATATTCCACTTGTGATTATTCATACCATATTGTTCATCTATAGATAATTCAAGAAAATTTTGTGTACTGATAGTATAAGATTTTAATTTAATAATATGAAAAATAGCTATAAAACCAGAAGGAAACATTGATTTGACAAATTCAAATAATGGAATACAGGTATCTCCCCTAGCATGTGAAATAAAATCATAATAAAGCGGTTCAAGCTGCTAAAAGCTTCATAAAACTCTGCACGTCTACAGGATATCAGGGTTGGGATTTCGTTAGTGCATAGTGTCAGTTTGTACTGAATCTTGGTAGCAAAATGTAATAGAATGTAATAGATTTGAATCAATGCGCGGAAAATTTGAATTTACTTATTAATGTTTGGAGATTCGCTGGTTACAATATATACCTATTAGGATTCTGAACTGTCCAGGCAAAATGAAGAAAAAATGAAATACAACACTCACTCAGTTCCACAATAAATAGAAACTGAAAATAAAATAGGAACTACCTGAACAATCTAAAAAAATAAACTCATTATCAAAAAATGTTTAGCTTCTATATGACAGGGTGAATATTATTTTTTCAACTAATAAAATTGTGTTTCTAGTAAGTAAAACTTCTTGGGTTCAATAAGATTTTACATATTTCATACATTAAGGAAAAAAATATACCTACATAAATAATAGCCGAGCAAAAAATGTGAATAAAAAATCTCAAATCTTTTTGATCTCCAAAAACAGAATAAGTTTCAGAATAAACATATTTTAGTTGTTCATTTCTTTGCTTTGAGTCGTTACTAAATGAAATCGGTATTATTAGATTATTAGGCGAGTTATTAGTTCTAGGTTTTTAGGTTCGGAATTGTAAAAATCCTGCATAACAAAATTGACAAAACTATTATAAGAACAAATAAACTCAGTTACAGAACACAAAACACAAGTTTGAAAGAATGACCCCACTAACGTTGCCGTTTTTTCCTGACGTTGCGCTCAAACTTGAATTATTACCTCATCCAGTCAAAGTGTAATAGATATTGGCTGTTTCCATCAATGTAGTAATAGCGTAATAACTGAGACGCGATTGTAATAGAAATATTACAATTGTAACAACAATCCCAACCCTGCAGGATATACATTAAATTTCAGAACATGCCTCTATCTCAGTTGATGCCCCACCCTGTGACGGATTCAGATGTGCATTAGGGGAATGCATCAACGAAAATAAAACCTGTGATGGAATACCCGACTGTAGAAGTGGAGAAGACGAAATTCCAGAGATTTGCTCAGAAAAGAAATGGTCCTGCCATCTATCGAACAAAACTTGCGGTAAGCATATATATCATGGCAGCTGTTGAGAAGTGTCCTATATTGAAAACCTCTGAGCGAGATAGGTTTTACAGTATTCTGTATAATATGTTGGTATAAGCTACTTGTTGGATAGATGTAGCGACTATCTGTGTGTTACAGGCATCGCTAAGGTTGGTTAATATCCCCAGTAGTAGATGGCGGCTCGTGTTGAAAAAACCAAGGTTGGTAGAACTGATTATAATTTGTATAGGAAGGTTGCCTCGATCGATAGTGCGGCAAGGGGGGAAACGGTCACTCGTGACGTCACAGGCAGTAAGACGACAAGTTGTCAACCTTAAAGCGACATGTCATGAAATGTTTACCAAATAGAGTATACAAACATGATACAAACTTTTTGGTCTGATCAGCATATTTATATTAATTTATAGTATATAATTATAAGTGAGTATCATTATAAAATATGGATATTCACATATACTTCTGTATAATACCTTCAATCTTCGAAATGAGAAGGCAATTTTGGATGGATCAGTAGTACAGAGAGGAATACCTATCTGAAATTTTGTTCCAGGGACTATATATTTACCAGGTCGTGGTACCAGGTATGTGTGTTTTGAGGTATGGAGCTAGTGATTACTTATGCATTGATTATGAACCTACTCATCCTATAAATATCCTGCAAATCAGATAATGTGAACAAGAAACTACAGAAAATATAAGAATAATCAACTGATGATCCAGAAGTAGTAGCAGTGGACCAATATTCGTACACGCAACAGATCATTTATTTTATCAATATAACTCTGTATTCTGAAAAATTAACAAACTTTCCTAGATACCTATAGAAAATACAAGAGGAAATAGTATTTCATTGTCTGATTATATTGTAGTCAAAAACAGAGCAATTGATCGAAGTATTTGAGCATAAAAAAATAACAAAATATGATTTTGAACAAAATTAATGAAAAATAACACTACTATTATAAGTGAACATATAATAAAGGATAGTTCAAGGAATCTCTCAAATAAACATAGCTCCTCTTCGTTGGGTAACGTACTCTTGCTCAAATATCTCAACTTGAAAACACGTGTGATATCTTCTGATGTCCATTTTACCCGTTCAGCAAGAATCTCAACATTCACAACTGGTCTGGTTCTGATCATTTTTCCAAACTTCCATACTTATGGTGTTTCTCTTGTAGTATTTGGTATTATTGATGGGATTCCTACCTTGAGTTTTCTTCTCTTTGGTGTGTGATTTGGCTATTCTGCTTGTGCCGTTCAAAATCCTCGGCATCGAAATGGGCAGAACATATTCGCCAAGTTTTGGTATTAAATGAATTGAAATTACGTCCACAAAATTGAATCCATTTCTCACGAATAGACTCATCTTGTGGAAATTAATGGAAACACAAACTAAATTCACTAGTCTTATTCACTTGTACGAATTTTAACAAAAAGTGACCGAACAAATTATCATTTTTACATTTTTAAGTTCAAAATGGTTCAAATATTCGAAAATACTGACAACTGTCAACTCAATAATTGGCGCCGGCGTACATATCATACACGAAGTGTACGAAAGTGCTACACTTTTCGTGCAAAAGAAAGGGCCTATTACGTCATGAGTTACTCAAGGTTACTCGCGGGGTGCGATCGAGGCAACCTTCCTCTACAAAATAGTCATCAGTTCTACCAACCTTGGAAAAAACATTACGGATAATCTCTGCGGATATCAATAATCCATCAGGAAATTATATGGTAGACATTGAATAAATACAATTATTTGAATCCCAATAAATTAAGAAAATAAGCACTGCTGAATGAAGTATCAACTATTATAATAAATACTTTGCAATTATTCTGTCCCACAGAATTAAAGTTACTTATTGATGCTTATTGCCAAAAATTGCACCCTATAGGTCTTTTTTGAAATTAATTTTTCTGTCCGATGTTAAAATGTTTCGAAAATAGATTCTGCTTTTGTGATTATTATCCTGATGAATACTATCAAACATTTGCTAATAGGTATACATACCTACAGAGTTACCCATTTGGAAGCGAGCCACCCTTATAATGTTTTAATTTACGGAGCGATTTTCGCTTTTTTTCAGAAATGTTGAGGGATGTGAGGTTTATTTTGGAGCTTAGCGGTGTCCATTTTTTTTCAAACCAAGGCCTACTAGATCATAACAAATCAACAGCGTGTCTCAGTTTTCAATCTGCTCATCTCTATATAGTCGTGCGATCTTTACCAAATTGTAATCGGTATGAAAAGCTATCGAAATGATCAGTTTTTCAGAGACGAACATCCTGTTGAACAGTGTGCTGAGTATGAATGGAGGGTATACATGGCCTGCTTTCAACTGGGTCACTCTGTATATGCTTCTAAGTATGGAAAAGTCAATTTAAATAAGAGCAAATTAGATCTCCACATACAACTTATGAATACCTGTTGGTCATGTGACTGATATTTTGATTTCATTATATTTGGTCATTTATTGCGTGGCACACTGACTTGAGACCAACGTATACATTCAACATGAAATGAGTACAACAGATGGTGAAATGGTATAAGAAAGCGACTGATTTTCCTTATACATGTTCGGACGGAAGGACGTAGGACTCTGTAGAGACGTCATTAGGACCTCCAGTTTTATACGTCATTAGGACCTCCAGTTTTATACGTCAATGATACGTCATGATATGGAGACGTCATTTGTAGGTCATATTTTGGTCAAAAGACTTCGTGAACCAAGAATAACGTAAAATCGACGCCAATATGGCGTCTTCTTTGATCACTCTACTACCTGGGAAGTACCCATGATTGCATCAATCTAGTACCTTCAATCAGCTGCTTGTACGCTTCTGACTTCTGACCAACAGCGACTACTGCAGAAATACCTCAAAAAACAGCCTAGTCTTACGAATAGTTCCCACCTCGTGTTATGTTGGGACGATTAAGTTTTGGATGGCGTCGTGAACTTTAGGATATCGTTACCTCAGCTAAGCAGGTGTTTTCGTTATTGTAGGTGAAGGAGAAAAAGAACATGTCAAAAGTTTCCTAACTTCCATAATTTCAGAGCTGGCAAACTGATAACGAAGCAAACGAAGTGACATTGCTACGAAAGAATAATTTGCTACGGCCGATGCTCATATACAGTATGATGCAAATGTATGGAATAAATTCATTTCAAAACAAGACGACTTTCGAAAAAAAACCAAAAACTAGAGTTTAGAACTTTTTTTTGCGACGTATTATTTCAACTAGACGACCCTTCGATGTTCAATTCTCAGTAAGATTCAATTAATCACATGATAATCCATTTTGATTTCAATCTTCTTATATGCAACATTTTGACTGTTGAATAGACGATCGGTAGACCTTTCAATCAAGGTGTCACCTGACCCTAACATCTCTCATATGGATATCATGAGATGAGGCTTCAGAAATTAAAACGTGTTTTTGGAATTTTTTCAAATGTCGCCCATTTCTGAAATAATGAATTTATTCCATACATTTGCATCATACTGTATTTATTATATAATATAAAAAAAATAAGATCTGGTTGTAGTTGGTTGGTCTCAAAATATTGACAAAATCCATCATTGTGGGTTTAAAATGATCACATGATATTGGATTTCTTCTTCTTTGAAAAAAAAACGATATATATTGAAAAACACTTCTAAGACATGAACTACAATTAGGTCCGGTAATAGGTATATTTTCCGTTTCGATGGCAAAACCATTGTAGAAATAGCAGAAGTGTACATTCAATAAGAGGCAAATTATTCTGGATTTATCATCATCAAACGTTGATGGCTATTCTAGAGAGATATGAGGTCTGAAATGAAGCGTATTATAAAATGACATCATAATGATGCCATCAGTAGGAAGAATAGTGGGTTTCGTAGAAATGCATCAAGAAGCTATAATAAGCTAATCCACCAGTACTATATTATAAAGAGAATGTGATGCCGATGATGAAACAACCTTGAGTGATAGTGCATTAAAAATAATACTTATCTCGATCTAAAAGACTATATGGGGTTTATTCAATTATAATTAACATATACCCCATCATCAATAGAGCACTATATATTTTAAACAGTTTTTGATGATCTTCAAGGAGCTGAAGCTGAACCAAATGGAAATCTCATGCGTATTTACATATTTCAAGGAAATAAGTTTCGTTTGGTTTTCTGATAGTATAGTATTATGGAACCAGAATGCTTACAAAATCAGAACTATGAATCTTGTGAAGTCTGACAACATTGAAACCTTGTATCATATCGAGTGGATGAATAACAAAATATCCGTAACAAACGAAATGAATTATTACCGGCTTATTGAGATCTATAATTTTTCAGGTTGTCCTAAGACTCAATTGAAATGCAAAAATGACGAATGTGTTCCCAAATTTACTTTCTGTGATGGAAAAAATGATTGCGGTGATAACAGCGATGAACCAACTGTATGTTCTTGCAGAGCTTATCTAGAATTAACAGATCCTAATAAAGTATGCGATGGAATTTTGAATTGTCTTGATAGAAGCGATGAGGATCCCCTATTTTGTTCCTGTCGAAAAGACGATTTCAATTGCATAAGGTTGGTAAAATTCTGCATTTTGTGAAGTGTAATTTTTATATTCAGGAGTTTTCAGTGTCGATGTTTGCGTAAGAAACGACATGGTATGTGACGGGATCGAAGATTGTCCTAATGGCGAGGACGAAAAAGTGTGCTATGACTTATCGTCATCTAGAGGCAGAAGGTGAGTACTAATGTTATGAAATCTGTTATCGTCAACTATAATATCACGATGAATCACGGCATATAAAATTGAGTCAATAATTATAAGATACAAAATTATTATGAACATGGACAGTCAATTATAACAAATCCTACTCATCCTCACGCCGTCAGCTGCAATTAGGTTTTGTCAAACTGTCAAACAATCCATAACATTCATGTTCACATCCTTGAAAACACCAAGGCTGATTAACCAATCAGATTCAAAGACAACTTTTGCTTCTGCGATATCAAAAGTCGTCTTCGGATGTGATTTCTCAAGTCAAAGAAATTAATATCTGATAGCCAGGAAAGTAGTTGTTTTCTGTTGAATATATCGAGGAAAAATAATATCTTCATCAGATAGAGAATGCATATGCAAGTAGATTCGTTTCTTTGAGGTCAGTATATTAACAAGTTTCGATGACTATTGTCAACAGTAGGTTTATTGTTCCAAGGTGGTCACGAAATGGAAACTATTCAATATTGATCAAATTCCATAACCCGCAGTGGAAATAAGTATTGAACATTATCGTGTTAATTTTATTCTGGAAATTTTGATATTTCAATATTTTTCATTGCTCAATTTAACAGGATTCAATTCACCTAACGATGTTTAGACCAAATTCGAAATGATTGAAATAGAAACTGAACATACTCACTTTCTTCCATGCATCCATCATATGAATCTATGAAATAGAAGAGACAAACATACATCTAGGTACCAGGAGAATATCTGTGACGAATCGTTCAGATTTTATGAGATATAATATTGGACCAAGGTTCATCATGTAGAGGAATAAAAAGATGATATAAAATGAGTTTTCTCTTGGGTCCCATATTAGCTTCATCCCCACAAATCCTTTAATCTATGATAATAATGTATAATTCTGATTTGCATAATATACTTCAAGGAGAAAATCGGTAGAAGTCGATTCTAATTCAAAAAAATCTAGGTATGAATAAATAAGTGAATGAGTCAGCAGCTTTCCTGAAAACAAGTGTTTCCATATGTCTTTGGTTTGTGGTTGGTCAGTAATTTTTCCCCGAACCTAACCGGACATGACCGGACAAACCAGGTTAACTTTATGATGACGTCACGGATTACTTTTGAAGCTTGACAGATGTCAGTTTATCAACTGTTTCCGATTATTGTTTTGTTTTGGTAGTAGTACCAAGATATTGAATATGAAATTATTCATCTGTAACAAAATATATCATAGATAGGAACTAGATTATTACCTATTTCGAATTCGAGAAAATTGGAACAATTCGCTACGTACAGGGCTAGTTTTATTAATTTGAACCCCCCCTTCATCCTTTTTGTTTTCTATCCGTTCAAGAAGATTCAAAACTGAATTTTTCACGATATTTCATATTGATTTCAATCATATTGATAGTCTAAGATCCGAACCTAAGTCGACCTTCACCGAGCTGATAATAGAACGAAATATATTTTATCATGAATTTAGTATATTAGAAAACATATTAAAAATGGGTTGCCTAAAAAAATCCTGGGCAGACTATTTTTAATTATTTTTCGAAAAATTATTTTTAATTAAATGTTGCAACATCAGGATAATAAAAAAATTGTGTCCTGACTGAAAGTATGAAACGTATAGAATGTGCAGCCGTTGGGGTGTCTACTATTTACCTGGGCGAACTACTGCGTTTACCTGACAAAACACAGGTATATCGATGCCAGTTACTTTCACTGGATTGGATAATTTAAAAAAATGTATATCATCATAAGCGCTGTTTAATTGCGAACACGTTGATATAGGGTTGTCTGCGAAAATTCCGGTCCGATAAGGGGTTTTTAATTTCAACGCGCGTGGAAGTGTGTGACAGAGAGATCCGAGGTAAGTATACTGTGTGATAATAAAGGACCCAACATCGCAGTCGCTTGTGATGGGACCCTGAATAGTAGAAAGTGCGCATGCTCGGTGTGTAAACTATGGAGGGTAGAGGTACCTCTACTACCCTTCATATAGTAAACAGTGCGTGTTATTTTGGAGCAACTGATATTTCAGTAGCAAAAAAAAATAATTAATTAATTACATAATAATTAAATATATTTAATATAATACTAATATATAAAAACAATATAATATCAGTATATTGCGTTATAACCATAATGATATATCTATAATAGACAATAAAAATATCAAATACTTACTTTGAAATTTTTTTGCTCTTTCTGGAAATAGAAACAAAGTGGACCGCCAAAAATTTAAATTAAGAAATAACAAAAAAGATAGACTAGACATCTTGTATTACGATTTGAAATTTTATTAAAAAACAGTATAAATACAAAAATAATATTAATGAAAAATAAATTCTAATAAATATTTTCTATTCAATATCTGATTCATCAGAAGTATCATTTTGACTCTCGAATTCGTCTGATTCATTAGATTCTTCCTCATTTGCTTCCATTTCGACAATGTCCTGGATTTTCAAAGGAGTTTGATCTCCGATAAAACCTGTTGGTTTTAAGAAATCATCAAAATGCCAACCATAGTTTTCAGGATTTGACTTCGCACACTTTCTACTATTCAGGGTCCCATCACAAGCGACTGCGATGTTGGGTCCTTTATCATCACACAGTATACTTACCTCGGATCTCTCTGTCACACACTTCCACGCACGTTGAAATTAAAAACCCCTAATCGGACCGGAATTTTCGCAGACAACCCTATATCAACGTGTTCGCAATTAAACAGCGCTTATGATGATATACATTTTTTTAAATTATCCAATCCAGTGAAAGTAACTGGCATCGATATACCTGTGTTCACCTGACAACCCAGTAGTTCGCCCAGGTAAATAGTAGACACCCCAACGGCTGCACATTCTATACGTTTCATACTTTCAGTCAGGACACAATTTTTTTATTATCCTGATGTTGCAACATTTAATTAAAAATAATTTTTCGAAAAATAATTAAAAATAGTCTGCCCAGGATTTTTTTAGGCAACCCATTTTTAATATGTTTTCTAATATACAAATTCATGATAAAATATATTTCGTTCTATTATCAGCTCGGTGAAGGTCGACTTAGGTTCGGATCTTCTACTATGAGAGATTGTTGCAGTATGTCTTCAAATATACAGGGTATACCAAAATATATTGGAATTTTTTTATATGGAATGCGCTGTATATTTTGATAGATGAAGATCCTCCTATATATACATGTTTGAAATCAGGATGATTTGGGTAATTCAAATTTAACGAAATATACAGGGCGTTTCATTTGAAAAGTATATTTATTTTTGTCATTGTCAAAATGAGTGAAATCTGTGTGAAAAATTGTATGAAATCAATTTTGGAATTGTTTGAATGGGCCCTTTACATATTTACAATGGATCAAATATTCAATTTCATCAATAATAATAATAATATAGATATCTCATTGAAAAATACTTCGTATGGATCCATAATTATCTCTTTTTCATCAATTATATAACCTCAGATTATAACAACAAAAGCCTAATTCAGTGCCCAATCAGAAGCCCTAACTACTCCAAGAACTACCTGAGTGAGCTGGTTGGTTGAATATTACGTCATAGTTTGGAATACACTTCGAGGAAAATTGACGGTTAACTTATTGTTGACCTGGTTTGTGTGGTTAACTTCGACGAAAAATGGCTATTGATCAATGAATCAACTTGTCATTCGGTATCTCAAAAAGCATTTCAGACCATCTGTAAAACAAAATTATCCCGAACAAATAAGTGAGGAAATTGAATTACTTATGTTTCATTGTCAATTATTTCGAATCATTATGTAATTCGGTGTGAAGAAAGCCATGTGAGTTTGAATTATTTTGTTTAGATCTAATGCTGGTGAAGTGATGAAGCGAACTGGTGGGATATGGCACAGTGGTTGTTTCAACATCAGTTATAACACGGAGGAACTCGAACATATTTGCGAACAATTGGGATTCTTCAATAGTACCCCAATTCAACTGAAGCCACCACAAGACATCGGTAACATGACTACCTCACGTCCTGTAATCGATAATTTCGACCTGATATGGATTCATAGAAACCAGGGTAACAAGTTCAGCCTAAGTATTCGCAGAGGGAATGAGCCGTTTGTTAAGTTTGTTCCGGATGACCATTGTTATAGATTATTTGTGGCCTGTTTGTAGAATATCTTATTACATTTAAAAAAAATACTATGCTGTTTCACTTCCTAGAATGTCGGAAATAGAACACTCATAAGTGTTTTCAATTTATTCACAGATTTCTCTTCTACTGCCGATTGTGGTTTATTAAATGTCAACTTCTCAGGTGAAAGAGAAAATGGAAAACAGGTACCTTTATCATCGCATCTCCTGAATATGATGTGATGAGACGATCCTTATTATCTGATATGGATATGATATGGACAGCGTCCTATACTGTGTTTAGCGCGGTTCTGTTGAACCCTCCTAAGAATTCATCGAGTTCTTCGATGTGGATGATATACTCGAAGCACTGAGTCATCCCGATTGTCAGCAATGAGACCTGATAGACTCACACAGTACCTATTTCTTGCTCTCGCTGACAATGGAAGCAACTCTATTTATCCTGGATCCCTTGGTTTTCAGATCCCGTTCTTCGAATTCTCATGAAAAGCAGATGATATATCTATTGGAATCTAGTCTCATCTATTTCTGTGCCTACCAGTGCTCATTTTACTGATTCATTGTTGTCCTCAACTCCTTCTATTCGTTAATTTGTTGGTAGACACACTATACAGAATTATATATGTTCAATTCTGTAAACTTTGGAACACGTGGATATTGAGGTCTTTAAAACACGCGCGATTTTTCGAGCACAACGGCCTAGCCACATTTGTAAGTGATATTTTATTTGACGTAATATATGGTACTCATGTACTATCGATAATCAGAACAATTACATCTCGACCTCACGTTTCACGGGTCGTTGATTTTGTCGTGGTGACTTAAAGAAACGCGCGTTTTTTGAAGGTTGGAGTCGAACACATTGAGGTGTCCTTTGAATAACCATGATAGGGAACCGATAAAAAATTTATAGTATATTGTTTAACGAGCACGGAATGATAGTGATTTCCTACGAGAATGAAGTTAGCAGCATGAGCCATAGGTGAATTTGCCATTTTGGTATGCGTACTGACGGAGGTGGAGTGGCACCCTTTTCCATAATTCTGAACGATAATAATGTGTATGAAATGCATTTTCCGTAAACGGTAAAAATTCCAATCGATTGAAGCTTTTCGTCTAAATAGAAATGTGCAGTTTGTTTCATCAAGAAATAAATTTTTTGAAACATTTTGTGTCAGTATAATTCAAAGGGAAGCTATAAAATGCTTACACAATCCGGTGTGGACCTGGATAGACTTGAAGTTGTGTGGACCTAGAGTTAAAATCAACTCAAAATTTTGTACCGTGTACTATAGCTATTTCTGTTTCCATTATTTCATTCTTTCATTTTTTCTCAGTCATCGCTTTGTACAGAATGGTCACTGCCGTAATGATATTGATTTCATCGCAGAAACAAAGTTGAGTTGGTGCCGCTTCCAGGAGATGTATGTTGCATAAATTAAGAAATAGATATCTCAGGCAACCATATCATACATGATAACGTCGGTGTGACGTACCAATTAGGTGAAACTTTGTCAGTAACGACACCCACCAATAATAGTAATGTCACTGACACGCTATAATAACGACATCTGATTGGCACCAAGTAAATTACTTATATGAGGTTGCAAGGTCGTGTCTGTGACGTGAAAAAATCAAGTCGGTGTGACGTTCCAAATTGATGGGCATCATGTTTCTTGACATGAATATCCGTTTCTCAACAAAGTAGAGCTGAATTCACCAATATTCGTTAAATTGCTTTATTCTTTGTTTGCATCTCGTCGATATTCAATGAATAATTTTTGATACAAATACGCGTACCAAACTGATCATATTCTAATGGAAAGGTGCCTATTGAGGATGGCGCTGCTGAAAATACGATTGAATGGATCATACTTCATCAGAGATTACCAACCATAGTCACATCATATCTTCAAGTAAACCATTTTAGGTTTCATTACATATTTCGAATATCAATTCGACGTCATTCCGACGTCACGTTAGGTGAGTGACCGGCATGACTAAATGACGTCATTGAGCTGTGATTTATTCACGTAATTTATCACTTCATATGACGTCAACTTATGACGTCACCTAGGTCCTACTGACGAAAAAACGAAGTCAATGAGACGTCACCAATGCAGCAATATTATACCTTGATATTGAAGATTGATGAAATTATAGTCCATTCTAACTCAGAAGACAGCATTGGAAACTTCAGGAAAGCGAACTCAAAGTGGAATTCAATCATTTCGAATGACCATTGTTTTGAATTAGGCGCAATTATTCATTGCATCAGCGTAAACATTTCTTCTGAGACAAAGCCACCTACTGTCTTGTTATTTGAAATGTAGAATTCTATAGGATAGTAACTCATTCCCTTCCCCACTAGGGGTATCAAACTCAAACTCGAAGTCTCAACCCTTATCTTAGGCACCTGATGAAGACACATCCTTCCGTTGTCAACCTCAAAATATGTCGAACAGCACTATATCACAACTCTTTCCTTTATTGAACGAGAAAGCTCTGGAATCCATTGCCTCAGGAAGTATTTCCAAGAACAAGAACATTATCGCCTAAAGTTCAGAAAAATATTCAACGCCTAACTCCTCTCCCTATCTCCCCTACGTTCGCACGATGTTCTCCGAACTTTATGGGAATTTCGTTTCGTGCGCACTAAGCGATAAAAAATTATCCAGAATTACCTGTTATTCCCTGTCAAAACTGTTTTCAATGATTGTTCATTACCAAAACTGTATGCTGACGTATATTTTAGACAATTTGTCTTCGTTGAAATATTTTGCTGATGATTTAGTTTCTTTTGTTGATCTTGCATTAGATGTTCAGTCCCTACTTTAGGTCAATCAATTCAGTATTTGAAATAAAAAATGAGGAAAAATAACAAAACAGAGCAAACTCTCAAAAACAAATTTGAACATTTTTTTAATGATACAGATCTTGTCAGATGATAGTAGATCGGTAAGTACCCCATTTGGAGTGTGGAGAATCATAAAATATGAGCCACAAGAACCGGCTATTCAGTAAATATAAAATTCCAACGCCCTACTTAAGCAACGGTTTCTCGGGTCGTTGAACGCCCAATAAGTACATCCCAATGAGTACTGACGCCTGACGCTCTAAGAGCACGTATCGTATGATTCGTATGAGTTATGAAGTCACTGGCGGTACACTAACTGAATCGGAACCAATCACTGTTGCCAAAACAATATTGATAGGATTAATAGTGAAGAGACTAATTGATTAAGTTCAGATCGATGTGTACATTTAGGCACTAAACACTGAACATATAACTTGGTGAAGTATATCCAAAATCAATTGCAGAATATCCCGCACCGCGAGGCGTCAGCGGGTTTGAAGTTCTCTTTGGGGATAGCGTCTCGTGCCTCACCTGCACTCACTTCAAAGTGAACTTCAAACCTGCCGACGCCGCGCGCTGAGAGATATTCTGCAATTGATTTTGGATATATACTTTACTTGTATAGGGTCCTGCATCTCACCTCCCGTCTCCTATTCTGATATTTTGCAGACTTCAATTGTATGATAGGGCGCATACCAGGAAAATAATTTCGATTATACAGGGTGTGTCAAAAAAGTGTGAAATGATGATATTTTCTTCAATGGCGTGCCATATATTTTGTTGCACATTTGAGTGTTTCTAATGGTTACCTACATACTCCTGGGATTTAATTGAAATCGGTTCAGTGATGTTCATGTAAAAAAATATAAGTAACAAAAACATTCAATTTTGCACCACTGTTCAAAAATAATAATAACAAAAAAGAGAGTGCCTGATCAATAGAATCATAAGCGATACATATTAAATAAGGCCTAAGAGGATCGCTAACCTAGTTTGATTGCCACGAATCATCACAGGGTGTGCAACATTTAGTGGCAAACATTTCAACTTTAAAAGCACTATATTTTTCTTATTTCAAATTGGAGCCCCTGTATATTTCCATGTCATTCGATGCGTGTAAAAAAAAAGAACTTTTTTTTTATTAAAACCTAATCGAAATTCTCATCGTATCAAAAGTTATTTTCCGTAAACTTGTTTCATCAACTATTCTGATAGTCATTCGAATGAATAAAAATCGAAGGTTGCTTTGAGAAGTGAATCAAATTCAATACACTGTTAGCTCATTATTATGGATATTTTGAGCTGTTTCTAACGAAATATTGTTTTTTGTCATGGTGTACAACAAAGAAGAGCTCGTAGATATGTTTTAAATATTAGGAGAATGTAAGAAGAACTCTTTTTTGGCAAGTCGAGCTTATGCACAACGTTATCTGGAACGACCTAATCCAGAAAAAAGGAGCCTGCAGAACTTATTGGATAGATTTGTACGAACCGGAAATATAAAATATCCAAAACCAGTTAGAGATAGACCGCCGGTTCGAAATGAAGAAAATCAATTGGCCGCGGCGTGCTGCAAAATCCTTACATTAGCCAGCAAGCAATCGCAGATGCCCAGGACGTGAGCGAAAGAACTGATCAACGAATTTTAAAAGATAACCGTTTCCATTCCTATCATTTTCAGTTTCATCAAGAACTCTTTGAATAATACATTGAAAAACGTGTTGAACTATGCAACTGGGCGCAAGGTCAAATTGGAGTAAATTTCGACTTTTTGATGAGGTTTTGTTTTCTGATGAGGCCACCTTGATCTTGCATAAGAATGGATTCGTGAATCGTCACAACTCCCATTATTATTCCGATTACAATGCAAGGGCGGGTTTTTAGGCAGATTGATAGACAACACAGATGGTCAATTAATGTGTTGGGAGGAATCATTGCTGAACATGTTATTGGTCCCAACTTTTTTGGCGGGAATATGAATGGCCCTATGTATCTGGATTTTTTGCAAAACCAATTGCCAAACTTCAGAGCGAACATTTGATGAGAAATTTATTCTGTAGTATTCATAGTATTGAGGAATAGACACAGTTTCGAGTTTTGCTAAGAAAACCTTATAGATGTGAAATTGAATGATGTTTAAGTTATGTTTGAAACTACCAGGTGT